ATTATCGTGGCAACTCTTACACAGCCACAGCCATACCCAACACCCACCCACCCATACCCTCTATCGATCTATGTAAACTTCAGCTGTTGGTCCACACGAGGAGCCAATTCCGCACAGATCTTCGCGAAACCACTGCATTTTGGCGTATATTCGGATTTTATGGGGATGGAAGGTACCTAAAATATCTTTAAAGGTGCCTATTGGATAGAGCTCGTCGAGTTCTATCGATCCATGTTGTTTTCAGCTTTTCCTCCCAGCGAGAAGTGAATCTCGTTCAGTTCTTCATGAAACCACTAGTTTTTGGAGTATATTCGGATTTTAGGTGGATGGAAAGTCCCAAAATAGCTTCCAATGTGCCTATTCGATAGAGCTCGTCGATTTCTATCGATCTGTGTTATTTTCAGCTTTTGGTCTCAGCTGTGAACGAATCCCGGCCACGTTTTCATTAAACAACTGGATTTTAGAGTATATTGGGATTCTGGCTGGATGAAAAGTACCTAAAATGTTTAGAAAGGTGCCTATTCGATAGAGCTCCTCGAGTTCTATCGAGCAATGTTATTTTCAGGTTTCGGTCCCAGCGAGGAGTGAATCCCGTTGAGGTCTGCGTGAAACAACTGGATTTAGGAGTATATTGGGATTTTAGGTGGATGAAAACAACATAAAGAATCTTGAAAGATGCCTATTCGATTGAGCCCATCGCCTACGATCGATCTATGTCATTTGCATCTTCGGTCTCACCTGTGAACAAATCCCGCTCAGGTCTTCACGAAACCACTGGATTTTGGAGTATTTTGGGATTTCAGGTGGATGGAAAGTACCCAACATATCTTGAAAGGTTCCTATTCGATAGAGCTCCTCGAGTTCTATCGATCTGTGTTATTTTCCACTTTTATTCCAATCGAGCAGCGAATCCCGCACAGATGTTGCTGAAACCACTGGATTTTGGAGTATACGGGGATTTTCGGCAGATGGAAAGTACCTAAAATATCCGGAAAGGTGCCTATTCGATTGACCTCGTCGACTTCGATCGATCTATGCTATTTTCACGAATTCGTCCGAGCTAGAAGCGAATCCCGGTCAGGTCTTCATGGGACAACTGAATTATGGGGCACACTCGGATTTTAGGTGGATGGAAAGTACCTAAAATATCTTGAAAGGTGCCTATTCGATTGAGCTGGTCCAGTTCTATCTGTTTGTGTTATTTTCAGCTTGTAGTCCCAGCAAGGAGAGAATCCGGTTCACGTCTTCATGGAACTACTGGATTTTGGACTACACTGGAATTTTAGGTCGATGGAAAGCATCTAAAATATCTTCCAAGGTGCGTATTCGATTGAGCTTGTCGAGTTCGATTGATCTTTGTTATCTGCAGCTTTTGGTCCCAGCTGTGAACGAATCCGGCTCAGGTCTTCATGAAACCAGAGGGTTTTGCAGTCTATTGGGGTTTTAGGTGGATGGAAAATACCTGAAATATCTTGAAAGGAGCCTATTCCGTGCAGGCCGTCCATTTCTGTCCATCTATATTATATTCAGCTTTTGGTACAAGGTGGGAGCGAATTCGGCTCAGGTCGGCCTGAAACCACTAGATGTCGGAGTATATTGGGATTTTAGGGACGGAAAGTACCTAAAATATCTTGAAAGACGCCTTTTCGATAAAGCTCGTCGGGTTCTATCCATCTGTGTTGTTTTCAGCTTTTAATCCCAGCGAGGAGCGAATCCTACTCACGAGGGAACATTCCCAAGCGATACCTGCCGTTTCAGCTCATATTGTGCCCAAAAGTAGATCTCGGTAAGACTAGAGAAAGTCTAAAAGGGTTCGTGCCATGGCGCCTTTGAAGCCGAGTTATGCCTAATTTACTGAATTTTCGGCCCTTTTTAGGGTACTGATCGAAAAATCAAATTACGAAGTTTCCATCTGAAACTTCTAATATAGATAAATACAGTTACACCTAGAATATCCTGGAAGTTTCAGGCGAATAGAATGTTCCTATGTGGAGATATTGGATCTTCAAAAAATAGTCATTTGCGACAGATATTTCACAAAAGTCGAGTTTAATTGAAAATGCAATAACTCGACAAAGGAACATTCTATTCGGCTGAAACTTTCAGGATATTCTAGGTGTAACTATACCTATCTATGTTAGAAATTTCAGATGGCAACTTCGTAATTTGATTTTCCGATCAGTACCATAAAAAGGGCCGAAAATTCAGTAAATTAGGCATAACTCGGCTTCAAAGGCGCAATGGCACGAACCCTTTTAGACTTTCTCTAGTCTTACCGAGATCTAATTTTGGGCACAATATGAGCTGAAACGGCGGGTATCACTTGAGAATGTTCCCTCGTCAGATAGTCTTGAAACCACTGGATTTTGCGGTATATTGGGATTTTAGGTTGATGGAAAGTACCTACAATATCTTGGAAGGCGCGTATTCGATATAGCTCGTCGAGTTCTATCGATCTCTGTTATTTTCAGCTGTTAGTCCCAGCTTGGAGCGAATCTGGCTCAGATCGTCTTGAAACCACTGGATTTTGGAGAATATTGTGATTTTATGGGGATGGAAAGTACCTAAAATATCTTGAAAGGTGCCTATTCGGTAGAGCTCGTCCATTTCTATCGATCTGTGTTATATTCAGCTTTTGGCACCAGGTGGGAGCGAATATGGACCAGGCGTGCGTGAAACCCCAGGATGTTCGAGTATATGTGGGTTTCAGATTGATGGAAAGTACCTAAAATATCCTGAAAGGTACCTATTCGACAGAGCTCGTCGCGTTCTACCGATCTGTATTATTTTCAGCTTTTAAGCCCGGCTTAAAGCGAGTCCCATTCAGATCTTCTTCAAACCGCTGGATATTGGAGTGTCTTGGGATTTTGTGGGCATGCAAAGTACCAAAAGTATCCAGAAAGGTGCCTATTGGATACAGCCCGTCCAATTGTATCGCTCCATGTTATTTTCAACTTTTGTTCTCAGCCAGTAGTGAATTAAGTTGAGCTCTTCATGAAACCACTGGATTTTGGAGTATATTCGAATTTTAGGTGGATGGAACGTACCTAAAATATCTCCAAAGGTGCCTTTACGATAGAGCTCGCCGAGTTCTATCGATCTATGTAATTTGTAGCTTTTGGTCCCAGCTATGTAGGAATACGGGCCAAGTTATCATGAAAACACTGAGTTTTGGAGTATATTGGGATTTTAGGTGGATGGAAATTGCCTAAAATATCTTGGAAGCTGCCTATTCCATACAGCTCGTCGATTTCTATAGTTCGATGTTATATTCAGCTTTTGGTACCAGAAGGGAGAGGATCTCGTTCATGTCTTAATGAAACAACTGGATTTTCGAGTGTATTGGGATTTTTTGGGGATGGAATGTACCTAAAATATCTAGAACTGTGCGTAATCGGTAGAGCTCGTCGCGTTCTATCGATTTGTGTTATGTTCAACTTTCAATCCCAGCTGGAAGTGAGTCCCGCTCAGATCTTCTTGGAACCACTGGATTTTGGAGTGTATAGGGATTTTATGGGGATGGTAAGTACCTAAAACATCTTGAAAGGTGCCTAATCGCTAGAGCTCGTCGAGTTCTATCGATCCATATTATTTTCAGGTTTTGATCCCAGCAAGGAGTGAATCTTGTTCCGGTCTTCATTAAACCACTGGATTTTGGAGTGTATGGTGATTTTATAGGGATGGAAAGTACCTAAAATATCTTGAAAGATGCCTATTCGGCAGAGCTCGTTGAGTTCTATCGATCCATTTATTTTCAGGTTTTAGTCCCGGAGAGTGCTGAATCTCGTGCAGGTCTTCTTGAAGTCACTGGATTGTGGAGTGTATAGCGATTTTATGGGGATGGAGAGTACCTAAAATATTTTGAAAGGTGCCTATTCGGTAGAGCTCGTCGAGTTCTATCGATCCATGTTATTTTCAGCTTTTGGCCCCAGCGACGTGTGAATCTCGTTGTGGTCTTCATTAAACCACTGAATTTTGGAGTGTATTTGGATTTTAGATTGATGGAAAGTTCGTAAAATAACTTGAAAGGTGCCTATTGGGTAGAGCTCGTCGAGTTCTATCGATCGGTGTTGGCTTCAGCTTCTGGTTCGAGCTGGTGGCGAATCTCGGGCGCGATTTTTCATTGAAAAACCAGGTTTGATGGATATAGGCGAATTGCTGGAAGGATGGAAGCATTTCCAGTGTGTTGGAAGATGTCCATTGGATAGTGGTGGTGGACTTCTATCTGTTTGTACGGTTTTCAGTTTTTGGTCCTCGTCAGGGAGAATCGGGGTGCACTGAAAAAAAAGGAGTTTTTGCGCATTTTTTCATAGTATTTTAGGTTTTTCTCCCGTTTGGAATGGTTTTGAAGAAAATGTGACTAGTGCATTGTATAGAGCTCGTGGGGCTCTGTCTTGGTCCGCAGAGTTTAGGCTTTGGTCCCAGCTGTGAGCGAATCCAGATGCGAAATATGCGAATCCGGGCCCAAGATATCCTACGTCTTAATTTGTGAATTAAAACAAGTTACATATAAACAAGTACTCCAATCATCAGCGCTTGGCGTCAGCACATAATCAGGAACATAACGTGTAAATGTGGAATAGTGACAAGTATTATTAGTTTCGGATATAAATCGTTGATGAATAGTCGGGAAAAGTTCAACTCGTCACGATTTTTATTTTCTGGCTTTCGTAACGAATAGACAGTACGAAAGCCCGTAACAGAGCTTTTATAAAGACAGAATCAGGGCTTTTGTAACTAAAAACCAGGGGTTTCGTAACAGATTTTACAGGGGATCGTAACGGGTGTTTTGATATGTACCATTACATAGCTTTCGTAACGAAAGACATGTAATTTCTGCAAACTAAGTCCACCTATCATCCTCATTCTCGTTACGAAATCCCTGTTGCTTCGTTGCGAAAGCTCTGCAACTGTTACGAACTCCGTGTATTAATCCTTACGATTGCTCTGTAAATTTCGTTACGAAATCCCTGTATTTTTGGATATCCCTATTTTTGGTGTTACGAAAGGTCTGATTTTTGCTGTTTGTTCAAGTCGTCACCTGACGAGTTGAAAGTTTCTCGAATAGTCGATAAATGATTTAACATGTATCGAATCTGTTTTCCATGTAATGGTTTGTTTTTATCAGGTGCTTGTTTAGTAACATCATCTTGATATAAAAATTCTTCTATATCTTCCAGGAGTGTTGATGGTGTCCTGGATGGTGGATTATAATTCTTAGATAAATTTACACCTAATCTTTTTTTCAATTTTGAAATAGAACCACGAGGTCGATTCTTTTTTTTATTAAGTAATCGTTTAGCTGCACGTTTCTTGGCTGGTGGACTAACATTATTGGTAAACAACTTTGCTGTTGTATCAACAGTATTGATTTTTTCTGAATGTTGTTGAGATAATAATCTTTTCATCTTCAGGTTCTCGTTCTGTAATTGTTGGATCTTATCCAGCAGTTTTTCATTTTCATTTTTCAACTTTCTGATATTGGCTCGACGACGTTTAATGCCTTCAGCCTTTCGTGAGTGCCGTTTAGTTGCTGGTGATGCAAGAGCAATTGTTGCTTCTCTCTGAGCTTCTTTTTTTCGTTGTCGACACTTTCGCTGTCTTGCATTTTGTTTTGCTTTGAATTCACGGTCAAACGTTTTTGATATTGTTCGCCTGAATTGAAGTTTTCGACGATATTTCAGGTCATAACGTTGAGTGTTACTTTTATGACAAGAAACCACAGTTTATCTAGAAATAGTGGATAAGACAGTGTAATCTATTCTGAATTATATTTAGTTTTTACGTAGATATACTCTTAAAATTGAAAATAAGCGAACAATCAGCGCATATACATAAGCATTAAAGTTTTGCTGTGATTTTACCAATTTGTCAAGTTTAAACTAGAGTCAATTCAGATGTGTTTTGATAGTTCTTTAAATACGATACTAAGTGGTGTATAAATTATTTGTCCCAGTCTTATATGTGAGGTAATTATGTGCATAACGATCTCGCGTGACATATTTACAATATTTTTCCTCTTTCTCACGATAGACAAGATTTCTGACTTTGATATTTTAAGCAATAGTTGAGCACAATGGGTGGATAAAACGATCAAAGTTTCGTCGCAATCTGCCCTAGTATAAGAGAGTTATGTTCGTAGCAAATCGAAAAATTTTTCGTGGCATTTTGTGTGAGAACTGAATTTTCAAATTTCATTTCATATTTTTCCTCAACAAGAAGCAGTATACTTTTCTCATTGTCTTTGGCCGTTTCATATGCAGCCAACTGACTTTCATTTGACACCAACCCGATCAATTTCAGACGGGTCATTGCGTTCCAAAATGGATTTTAATCTCGCGTGACAGAAAATTGAGGGTTGTCTATACCCATGGTATTTCGAGAAAACTATAATAAAAAACGCGTCGAAAGAACCAATGAGTTTTATATTCAAGAAGTGTAGACTGTATATTATAAATATCATGAACTGTCAAAATTCAAATGACAAATAACGAATCGGCCATACGATTTTTTGTAAAAAAGATGGCAGCAGATATCGAACTTTTGAGCCTTGTGCAGCCAATATCTCAAGGCTTATTCAAGATAACCTTGTGATTTTTTGTGTGGTAGTGAGACCTTCTTAGTAAAACATATGGTAAAAAGATCACAAGGATTGGTTGAGTAGAACTCGAGATATTGAAATTTTACGTTCAAGAATACTGCGGTACGATAAAGTTGCAATTAACCCATATGTAGCAATGAAACTGAGTTCATTGAACTATGGCTCATCATAGAATTAATAGAAATAGAAATTGTCATGACCATTATTCATAACACTATTCGACATGTATTCCACATTTTCACTATCATCATTATTGTTATTGTCGTCATCGTCATCATTATTGGTTTTATTCTTACCCCTAAAATCGTGGTGATTCGCATCAAAATATATCTTATACAAGTCAACTTGGAATTGAACAGGTTGTATTATTGTTCGTTGACAATTCTTAATAATATTCATTAACAAACTAACATGTAATTCAGATTGTTTCATGGACAATGAATTTTGTCCTTGTGCTGGTTGTTGACTACCATCAAGAAAAATTTCCTTGTCATCTTCTATGATTTTAGCATTTCTTGCAACTACTGCTGAAATTCTTATGAAAGAATTCTTTCTGGCTTCATTGCACACTTGTTCTATTAATAGTAGTAATAGATTTTTCAAATTTATTGAGTCCATCGACAATTGCGACATTGTGCTATCAGTTTTATGATTATCCTTCGATCCTATGGAATGAGTAGTCACATCGTCTTTATTATGATTTAGCGTTCATGATTCAATGTCATTCGTATTTTTCTTGGCTTGTTGTGCATTTATAGTTGCTCGTCAAATATTATCTGCTAGCTCAATCTAGAAGAGATAAAATAAGAATCTCATCTTCGTTGAAAAACTTGTTAGTACGGTCCCTTCTGGGGCCAAAGTGTGGAACTCCCGAACTCTGGCTGTTATAAATTTCTAATATACTGTCGGAGCTTTTAAAATAACCTATTGTTAGAAAATGTCAAATAAATGAATAATTCAAAATCATAACAGTGTTTATTGTTGATAGGCGCGCTCGGAAATTTTATCATTTGGAAAATGTTCACATTTATAATTACTCTTCTACCAATTTATTTGATTCATTTAATATCGTTATAGTGTAAAAACTTATTTGTACTATCAGATACATCTTCAATTCATAGCTTCTTTGCTCGTAATGATAACACATCTGCGATACATGCTATAGAAAGCGGCAAATATAACTCTACTCTTCGTTTCGTCGATTCACCCACTATATTAGCCTGCTATAGAGATTGATTTTATCACTCAGTAAGTTATCCCGCACACTATTCTTTCTCTCGATGAGTTCTGACATGTACTACTGAGTTTTGCTTGAAATTAGAATACAATCAGTTTAGATTTTTCTATGTTTGTCGGAATCTGACTCTACTAGATCAAAAAGACGACCGCTCTATTGATTAAAATCTACAATAAGATCCTTTCGATGCATGAAAAGCCCAAAACTGCACTATTTAGACTAAACAGTTAGAATCTACAGAGCTTTAGAATGATCTAAGCACTGATATTACTTACGAGCCATTTCTCATTGCTATGAAAAGATATCCAATGATTTTTGACTTCTTCGTTCCACGGTTGCTAGGGCCTGCGGAGATTGCTAATGTCTGTAATGGGGGGCCTACGGAGAGGGGCAGCCGAAAAAACCTCGATTTAAAACTTACACTCACTATTTTCTTCGAAAATATATGTGAGTTCTTCAAAAAAAAACGAACAAATCAACTTTTCTTGTGTATGAAGTAAATGACCAGATTCTTACTTGTACTGAATTGGATTTTAAATTATAGAATCTTTTAATAAATGAACATCATTTGCATAGATGAATAAGAGATTGTTTTGTGTTTTATATCAGCCTGTAATCGTTGTTGCTGATCTTCTTGTACAAATGTAAAAATAAAGGCTCTTAAAAGAGTCATATCGGTGTTAGATAAAGTTGATAGTTAGTGTTGTTCTTGATGTTGCACATAGTCGAATTACCATCTTGTCCTCCAGCGTCATCTATTTTTTCTCTTGATAATTTCTGTTTGTATTGTGTCTTCTTTTTGATTGGTTCTAAGCTATTAGATATGATTGCTAACTACATTTCGTCAACGTAGTCATGTTTATTGATCGAGTTGTTTACAGTTGAATATATAGCTTCTTTAATTCTTCTTTTTCTGCAGTCTGTTTCTTTTTCTAGAACTATTGCTGATACAGTGTTAAATTTACATCGGTGTTTATTCTTGTGAGTGTGCATTACCATTTCAGAATTCAATTGTTTATCATTTTGTCTAATTAATTTTTCATGCTGTTTAATACGTTTCATTAATCTTACTTTTGTTTCACCAACATTCATTGCTCCACTTTCGCATTCAATTTGATATATGACTGAGTTTATTTTTGTTTCTATTGATGAATTTATATATGTGTGTAATTTATTTGGACATGAGTAAAATAAGTTAATATGGAGTTTCTTTAATTTTCTTTATAAAATTTCTGTTCCAGATTTATATGGTATGGTGATTGTATATTTCATTTCTGCAGTATCTCTTTTTGGTAGTGATTTTTGAGTGTTATTCGTTGATAATGTAAATTTTATTAGTTGATGAATTTCTTTTTCTGGATAATCAGATCTTTTAAGAATTTCTACAAGCTTTTCTATGCCTTCTTTTTATTCTAGTAGTTTACTAACAAATTTTGATGTATTATTTACAGAATGACTAATTGTTTTTCTTAATGCTTTTCTTAATGTTAATATGTATTGGAACAATTGGGACATTATCGTATTTCTTGTGCATGTTATTAATCTCATTGGGTAATTTATTTGATGTATTTTTCGTTGTCCTTGGATTTTGCGTAAGTCTTCTATTGAATTGAATTCCATCTTCATTTTTGTTTTATTTTGTTTTGTTTGCATAATTTTTCTGTTAATTCGGAAATACTATTATTAATTGTATTAATGGGATTTTGATTTTTTCCACGTTCAAAGAAATGTTCATATTAATTAATTACTGCTTTTTAAATATATGCGGCTGTTGTTAATAATGCCTTTTCCGTATTAGTTGTATATTCAACTAAATTCATAGTCTTTCGTGTTAAAATAAATTTTAGACATTTTTCTAATATTTTAAGTTGTTGTTGGTTTAAACTTGTAGATGATATATTTATTGTTTGTTGGTTTTTGTTTTTAACATTATTTATGTTGTTTTTCTGTAGATTTGGTTTTCCTTAGTCAATGTTTTAAATTTTTCTTATTATTATTTCTTTTTGGTTTATCTATTGGAGACCTAATTAGTTCATGATTTCTGTATGGTTAAATATCTTTCATGTAACTATTCAGTATAGTTTTTGGAGTATTTATTTCTATGTTATATAATCTGAGCCGTTTATATTTCCAATGTAATGTGTTATTTCTTATTTTTATCATTGTACTGTATAAAATTAATGTTTTTATAATAATTGGTGTTATTTTTAATATAAAACCTTTTGGTATTATGTTGTGATCTTTACATAGTTTTAAAAAATTGATATGTTTTTCAATTTTTGTTTTTATTTTTTTGTAAATGTTTGGCTATCGTTGTTGTTCTCTCTCCGTAGAGGTTTTTGTAATTAATAATGTTGGGGAAGGTCATTATAAATAGTTTTTCAATAATTGTTTCTCTTCTTGTTTTTTATTCATTGTATGTTGTTAAAAACTAATGTAGGAATTAATTTAATTGATCAATTTTAATTTATATTTATTAATTTTAATATAATAATTAGATGAACTGAAGAAGGAGGCAGTAGCTCTCTGAAACGTTTTCATACATTAAAATTAATAAATATAAATTAAAA